TTGCCTCCTCACCAACAGGATCCCAAGGACTTCTCATGCTCCTGAGAAAAGGGAACCTAGCTGATAAGCACCTTGGTCTTTGAAATCAAGAGAAGCAGACTTTTCTCCACTGTTTGGCCAACACAGCAGACTTCCCCTTTGATCTCTAAAGAGAACAGGTTTTAACAGTCCTGCTCTCCCACTCCCCCCACCCCAACTTAAAAACAAAAACAAAAACATCTTCCTGCGTTCTGAAGGAAGCAGAAGCCTCCCCTTTTAAAAGACCCCAGCTCATGATCCAGGGCAGACATTTTTCCCTGCCCGGCAGGGAATCTGTCCCATGTGTTCCTTTGCTAATAAACTCTATTCCAATGGAGTTTTATCCATGTCCTGGTGCTTTCTCCTGATCAACCCTATTTGTTATATAGCAACTTTTTACCTATCATTTGTGAGTGTATTGCCTGCTGTGTGTTAGTGCACCCTTATCTTTGCATTGCAGTGCCTGCGGAGGTCAGGAGGAGGCATCTGATTCCCCAGAACTGGAGTTATGGATGGTTGTTAGCCACCATTGGGTGCTGGGAATCGAACCCAGGTCCTCTGTAAGAGCAGTCAGTGCTCTTAACCACTGAGCCATCTCTCCACTGCCAGTTTTGTGATTTTAACATTTTACTATCCCATTACATTTTAGCCTAGGTCTTTGAAAATGGCAGATAATGATAAAAATTGAAGACAGTTTCCTAAAATCCCAGTACTCAAGAGGCAGAGGCAGCCATATGTATGTGAATTTAAGGCCAGCGTGGTCTACATAGTGAGTTCAATGCCAGCTGGGGCTACAGGGAGACCTTATCTGCCAAATCAGAATACTATTGATGGAAAGAAAAAATAACTATGTAATATATTACTATAAATTATTATATTTACACAAAATGTAAATACACTAAAATGTATATTGATAAACGTGGAGATAGAATCATATCTACAGGAAACTTACTTGTGTTCCCAGTACTGTAGGCTTTTGAAGACTGTACACTGTTAGTTTAATATGGAAATAAATTCAGTCTGTCTTGCTTTCTAGGGATTATGTGACAATTTGTTTCAATAGTGGCTACATGAGAACTGATGTATCCATACATTATCAAGGCATTGTTAATATTAGTTCCAGTGTGAATTAATAATGCCTCATGCAAAATTCATGAATGACATCAAAAGGTTGATTTGCTTCATTTACGGACTGCACTACGAATGCACTTCAGTGTAAAGTAGCACTGCTGGTCTTCATTCCTCTGCTAATTCAAAACAGTCAATCCTGAATATTTGAAATGAGCTATATTTTGATTAATAAGTTGAATACATGCAAGTCCATTGAATTACTAAAATTTCATTAAACTAAAATTTTAAATAGTTTTGTAGGTATTTTTGAATGTTATTAACAAAATTTTTCTGTCAAACTAAATGGAAAAGAGGAAATAATCATAAAACATAAGTATATTTTCATGTTTACCCATGGCTATATTAAAATTTT